ATTAACTAATCAAAATTGTGAAATTTGATTAATCCCAGATCAGTCCGAAAATCAAAACAAATGTTTAAACTCAATTATCTTGAAATGAGATAAATGTAAAAATGGACCCTTTTAATTGAAGACACCCCATATGCTAGTTCTGATATTTTTTTAATATTTTTTGAACAACTTGATATTAGATGATAAAGAGAACAAAGATACTAAAAATAGTAGCAATAAAAGCTATAAAAAATCAAAAAATATATATAAATTGCCACCACTACCCCCAAATTTTGAACTATTGATTTATTCAAAACAATTATATCAAGTATTTGTAAATTTGCTACCAAATTATGAAGTAGTTTTTCAAAATCAGTTAACTTTTTTTATCTTTTTTTACAAATACTTTACTTGATAAAATTGTTCTGAATACAAATATATATATATTAATTAAAGGAGCTAGTTTTGCAGAAAGACAGTAAAAAAACATAAACTATAAAAAGCTTATTATTTAGATTGTACTGGTTATTTACAAGAAGATTTTTGGACCACCTTTGCTTGATTAGTACTGGAATAAGAAACAAAAGCTCTCTATACATCATATTTCTAAACAAATAATACTAAAACAGTTTAAACAAATCAAAAAATATCTGCATATCACTCTGCCTGTGGCTGCTATTAATTATTATTTCAAAAAATTAAAGCTGCTACTTTCCCATATCTAAGATATCTTGAAACAACTTTACATACTAGCTTCAAATATTTCAGTTAATAAAGTGATAGTAAGGTTTTCTGAAAAAAGCATTCACACTATTCGTATCAAGAACAAACCAATCCTAGAGAGTTTTAAAGTGTTGTTGCTTTGTGAATCCAGATATATATTTACTTTCTTGTCAATATTGTATATCTTCAAGTAATATAAAAAAAGTAGATAGGCTTAACTAAACTAGTTGTCTAGTTTATTTTTTGTTATACAGCTTTCATATCATCAGTTTTTATTTAATCTATATGAACAACTACTTTACTAATATTTCTTTTTTACAGAACTTTCAGCAAATTGGTATTGGTACTTATAGCACTATTCAAAAAATAGTATCAGGGTTTTCTAAGGAACTAAAGTAGAAAAAACTTTCGACTTGACTAAAATATATGTTCTGGCATTGTAGTAAATGAAGTATTAGCAGTATTTTGTCAGAACAATGGTCTGGTCACAATGTTGTTAACAATTCATAATCTTGTTAGTGAAAAATGAGAAATAAAATATAAAAGACAATGGCCAAAAGAAACAAGCTCTAATACAACAAAAGTGTGTATAGTGTTTGGCTTTCAATCAAAAAAAATTAAGAATCTTTAAGATAATTAATGACTACAATCATTATATAAATAGTGTAGATATTGCTAATCAGCTTCATTCATATTACTATACGCAGCAAATGATATGAAAAAACTACATATCACTTTTTTCTAGTTGCTGGATATCTTTATCATCAATGTATACTGTATTGCTTGAATCTTGGGATCAATTATAAAGCAAATTAACTTTTAGTTTAAACTTATGTAGGATCTCATTGATATTGCAACCGATATGAGAGAAATTCAGTTTAAAAATAGGTCAAAAAAAAAAGAAGAAACAAATGAAAAAACAAAAAAATAAAACAGCCAAAAGTAATAAAGCATTTCAAATTTTCAAACTGATGGTTTGTAGCTAATAACTATTTGGTTGAATGAAGAAGGGATCGAGAATTATGCTAATAGTGCAAGTGGTTAGCAAGTAAAAAACTTTAGATTTAGACTATAAGACTTCAAACAAAAGTAACCTTTGGTATATTATATATGATGTATTACTCTGCTATAATAATATTCAAAATTATTTTTTGATTTCTATAACAAAAATTATAAATGATATTAAAAAAAAAATTTGCAAAGACAGAAAATATCAAATAATCTTGTGAAATTGTAAAAGATTAACATAAGACATTTATTAATTATCAAAAATCTGTCAAAATAGGGTGTTTATTGTTATCAAAATAGGAGTATAATATAATTTCTTAAATGCTTAATTTCATATAATTAAAAGTGTTTTACTGATTTAATTGTTAAAATTTAAATTTATATAAAAATTTTTAATTTACTGTATATAACTAATTTGATCGATCTATCTAATTTAATATCATAAAATTTTATTATAAGTAAGTTTTCATCACAGGTTTAACAATAAAATTTTGATAATCTATTAGCTAGCTAATAGGTTTAATAAAGGTAATATAAATCTTACAATATATGTCTCATAAATACTAACCGATAGCTTATCAATATTTGGTATATATTTATGACCTATCAGCTTGATATATATTAATCACTTTCTGTGACATATATACAAAATTTTAGAAAGAATATCACTTTAGAATATTGATACTATATTCTCTAATATTTATATAATATGCTAAATTTCTAAGCAGTATCTGGTAATATTTATTCAATGATCAGTTGGGTATATCACCTATAATCTTGGTACTACTATCTTAAAATAGAAGCTTTAGAGCGATCCAAATCAAAAGAACTGGAATATTTGAAACCCATTTGGCAAAACCCAAGCTAGAAGTAGTGAAAATCTTTGATGATACTACAGAAAACTGAAACCAGAGACTAAAGAATCGGATGAATAACTTTGAGGCAAGAAGGGTCTACCAACTTAACTACTAGAGTCATACTGAAAGAAAAAATCCTATACTACAGAATTAGGAATCAAAAGAAGTAAAATCAGAAAACACTTAGAGCCTAGATATAACAACTCATTTGGGCTAACTAGTTTAGTAGTCAGGAAGAGATTGGTATAAAGGCCAGTTAAAAGTGGATATTAGAATCAGAGTGAATCTTGTAAGGGCAAGGAGTAGATAATAGTAGCGAGATAAAGACCACAAGTATTAGTCCTCAGATTGGGGCGTAAGTTATTAAAAAAATCTAAGTGATATATGTGTAGGATATGGACCACTCTGGTAGGTTTACCACGAGAATAAAGTAGTCCTAAGGGGCCTTAGTAACAGAAATTCTTCTGAGAAAAACATCTGACAGTGCTAAGTTAATCAGAGAGTTTAAATAGGGGATCCACAAACAGATTTTAGATATAGTAATTGGTAAATAACTATAAATAGAAATAGATATAGTGGAGCTCTTAATTAGGCAATAACTAAAGTTGTACATGTGACCAATTGTACTCTCATTGATATAACAAAGTCAAAGGGTGCCTATTTAATATTCTAATAATTGACCTGTGAAGTTAATAAACTGTGTCAGACCCCTAAGCAGTATATAAAATTTAAACTTAAATTTGTATGTGCTATATATGAATATTAAATAAAATTTTACGTGTACTATATATATATATAAATATTAATTAAAATTTTATATACACTATAATATATAATATTTATTTTTTTAAATTACATTTAGTTAAAATTATAATATAGTTAAAACTAATAAATATTATATATCGTTTATTAAAATTATAATATAGTTTATAAGTTAAAGTAACAAATGTTATATATTATTTATTAAATAATAAAGAATAATATAAAAATTGTGTAATTTAAAATAAAAAATTTAATTTAATTGTCTTTGTTCTTTTAAAATCCAATGTTCAAATGCTTTTTCAAAATTAAATAACTGAATAGGTGGTCCGTTTAATACAACCATCAAGTGATCATTAAATATTTGAACAGACATTTGATTTCAAAGTCTAGTTTTAATTAATTTGTGTTGTGAAAAAACTCTTTCCACATTTGCATTTGAAACAGGTATAATTAAACAAATACAAACTAAGGTTAATATTGTAGGATAATCTGAAATAAAAGAAGTTCTAGAAAATATAGAATACTATGCATCAATAAATTTGAAAGAATGGTAATTTTTAAGAAAAAACTTAACTAAACCCTATTCTGCTGCCAAATTCTTTTGTTAAGTAAAGTGGAAAATTTTTTTCACTAATTATTTTATCATTTCTATAAAAACTCCAAGAATATTAATTTCAATATTTCTATAATTAGCTAAATCATGATTAAATTCTGGTAATTTTTGTAAATCAAAGATTCGTATTGTATAATGTAATTCTTTATTTAGAAAACGCTTTTTAAAATTTTTTATAATAGCTAATGAGAACTTTGATACAAACAATAAAAGTATATTAATATTATTATTCTCAATATATTCAAGCAAAATTTGTCTATATGTAGGTGAAGTTTGATTATTTCTAATAAATTGTGCTTAAATTGTCTGAATTGTTATATCTATATTATATTGAATATCTGAGAAAGAAATATTGTTTGACTAAAAAATACATATTAATTTGTTTAAAATAAAAAAAGATTTGCTAAAAATATTGTAGCTAATTCAAATTCTTTATTAATAGAACTTAATAATTTTAAAGCTTGAAAATTATTTGATACCTTATCTAATAAAGCTCTTTTAACAGATTCAATACTTTGATAAAAATTATGATTTATGTTTGAAAAAGACAGCCACCTTGTTGAAATTATATTTAACAAAACTAATTTAGGTTCATCTAAATTATTTTATACTAATTTTAATGTTAATAATCATTTATATAAAAAACTAAAATAAAGGTAAATTCCTTTAATAATTTTTTCATATTTTTAAAAATATTGAATTTTTTTTGCTGTATCTTTACAAGCTAAATATAAATGATATGCAATACAATGATTTTCTGTTATATATAGATTAATTTTTTTAAGCTGGGTTGCTATGCCAGTTTGATTTTCAAGCATTGTACTAGCACTATCACTACCAAAATGAATTAAATTATTTATGTCAATTGATTTGGCAATTATAAAACAATTAAGATCATTCATTATAGCTTCAGCACTACAATTATCAAGTTCAACAAGTTTTAAATAGCATAAAACAGGTTGATTTTCTGATATATGTTTTGATACTATTGCAAAATATTTGGCTATAAATGAAGTACTCTCATCAATCATCAAACTCCAATTTTTTGAAGCTAATATTTCATTTATAACTTCACATTCTATTACAAAAGCTATTGACTCAAGAAAACTACGTTCTAATACTGAATTTTCGTAAGATGAATAAGCTTGCTTTAAAGTTATTTCTTTTAAAAATAATATGTTTGATTTTAAAACTTGTGGCTCAGTTTTATAACAAAGTTTATTAAGATTTTTAAGTTGCAAATTACCAAGTTGGTATAATGCAAGATATTGATTAAGTGCTTGTTCACATTTTGCTAAATAATAAATATTTCGCATAAGAGTAATAATTTTTAATTTTTGTTCACTTAATTGTTTTGTAATTCCATGAATCAAACTAGTTTAATTTTTATTATATGTAACTGCAGCAAGTTTATGATCTTTAATTGTTAAATGTTAGTCAAAAATTTGTTTTTGTAATGAGTTTGTGCCTTTAGTAAATTGATTATGTTTGCGTGCTAATTCACACCATGTACAAAATAATGTAATAATACTATTATTATTTTCAATTTTTTTAAGTCAGAGATATATTTTAGGCCAATTTATATTCCAACTAGTACAAGTTCTTTTTTGATTTTGTGTATTATTATTTTTATCTTCCAAATCAGAATTTTCATTACTTTTATCTTTATTTTGAGATGTAGAATTATGACGAATTATAAATTTATCTATAGTTTAATTTTTTGAAATATCTTTATTAATGTTCTTTAAATAGTTTTTTTATAAAATATTTATTATATTATTTATTGCTACTTTTTATTGTTTCAAACCTTTATAATATTCTAAATCAGAAATTTTGATAAAAAAAATTTAGATTGTTTTTTGTTTTTTACTTAATTAAATTTATGCATTTTTTTATATAGCATACTTAATATAATCCTTGATTATCTAACTTTTTGGCATTATTATTTTTGTTATTTTAGAATTCATATATAACTATAAATTCTATTTTTTACTTTTTTTAATTAATCCGGTTTTAAAAGCAAAATTATATATAAATAATAAATAAATCTTAAAAATTCATTAATAATTAAAATAAAACAGAATAAAATCAGAGTTACAAACTAGTAAAGATCAGGTTAGAGTGAAATCTATATTTAATTAGTTTTTATTATATAGTATAGTAGATTTTACTAGCTTATATTTCAGATTTCATTATCATATTAAAATTTCTTTAGATTATTAATTCGATTGTCTTTAAATATAGCTAATAAAATTTGAATTAGATATATAAATTTAGTGCATTATATATCTCAACTCAAAAAAACTATTAAACAATACTTCAAGACTTCTATTTTGTGTTTTGGGCTACTCTGTCTAGTTTATTCTAGTTTACTAACTTTTTTTAAACCCTAATTGTAGAGTTTTTTTTAAATACATATATTATTAGAATAGAGTTAAATACAAAGCTACTTTATTTTGTAATATATAATTTTTTAAAGCTTGATACAGGTCTATAAAAGTGACTATCAGATTTCTTTTTTCTTTTCTTTTCTATTTTTTGTTTCTGTTTTTGTTTTTAGTATTAGTTCTTATTTTTTTTTCTCTTTTAGTATTAGTATATAAGAAGATATTATTAGATTGGTAGTATCCTATTATAGAACAGTGGTCTGATATGAGTTTTTTGGGTTAAAGTGACTTCAGTCATGGATATCTCTTATAGAAAGATTATTATAATGTAGCTAGTCACTTGTAAATACTCTTAAAATAATTGCAGAATATCAGATCTAGATATTAAACTAAATATTTTGTTATATCTATAACAAAATAATTTAATAAATAATTACTAGTAAAACAGTCTAAGTAAAAAAAATAGTTAAATCAGATAATTATTACCATATGATCTGGATTTTTTTACTATAGCTAGAGTGCTATCATTATAATTATTCTTCAGTTTACTAGAAAATTATCAATTAAGTTAATTTAAAATAATATATTTTGTAACTAATAATAATTTTTAATTAAAATAACTACTATTTTTAAATAAAAATATATTATTATTACTATAAATAATATTATAGTTTTATAATTAAATTTTTTTTAAAAATTTTTATTTTATCTAAACTATTAATTTTGTAAAAATTTAAAAACTTAATTAAACCATAAAACCAAAATTTAAAAAAAAACTTTAAAATTATATAAATTCAAAAAGATTTTTGTTAAATTTAATAGATTGTAATATCACAAGCTAATATATATTTAAAAATTATTATTAATTAGAGTTAGAGTTTGAGTTAATATTAGAATTAAAGTTAGAAGATATATATATACAAAATTAAGTATTGAAAACTTTTAATTAAAAGCCCAAAACTATAAAATTATGAGATATTTAAAAATTTTAACTTTTTTATTTATTTTTATTATATCAAATCCTGTGATCTAATTGGTTGATTATATTAACCTGTGATATAATAATCTGTGATATTTAACAATATTCATTGTCATAGATTAAAATAAAATTAGATTAAAATAAAATTTAAAACTTCTTTTGCTTACCTTTAAAGCTTATAAAACCCATATATACTTGTTTATTAATAACTCTAAATCTGACTTCTAATACTAAAAAAAACCTCAAAAATGTTTCCTAAAAAATTTTAAATTTTTTTAAAAATTAAAAAATTTTGCTTTAATCTGATTTTATTTTAATTTGTTATATTCATTAACAATTATTAATAAAAATAAAAACAAAACTTCAATATTAAAAAAATTATATAATTAATTTAAAATTAGAGATTTATTTTATAATGCTATAGCACTATGATGCTAGAGTATTATAACTAATTAAAATTTAAAATTAGGAAACCAACACTTATTAGCTAATTATATCTTCTCTGAAAACATATTAATTAATTATTCTGAGATACCCAAAGTTAATTATTAAATAATTTTAAATTTTATAAATATTGTATTTTTATATACTCTTTGTATATTTGTATATGTTGTGCCTCAGATCGATTTTTGCCTCAGGTGATAACTGAGGCACCTCAGGTGTTGATCATTTGGCCGGCA